CATTGTGATGTCCCAGTCCTGTAATGTTGTCTCCACTGGCACTAGGCCCCACAGAGCCCAGGAGCCCAATTCTGGGGTGACAAAGAGAGCCAAAAGTCCCCAAAAGTGAGGAGCAGCTTTGCAAACTCCTTAACTGTCTGTTGAGGTATGACCCGATCTCAGAGTCCCAGCTTGTCAGCTGCATCCTCAGCCTGGAATGCCCTGAATGTCTTTTTTCTGTCTCTACATCAGTTTCACTTATTCTTTAAGGCCCAAGTCCCACCTCCTCTAGAATGTCCTTTCAGACTGTTGCAACCCCTATGAATCTCTTCCTCCTCTGATCTCCCCCCACCCCAAAGGTCCCCACCTTCTCTACCCAGCCCTTTGCTAAACACCTTCTTGCCCTGTCACTAAACTTTCCACATGTGTAGAACTTGTCCCTTGAATGGGATGCTCCTTAATCTTCTGAGATTCACGGATGCTCTGAGATTCCAGTGAAAGCTCCAGACTCTCTCCTCGGGAAACTGCGACATATACTGAGTCTGTACACAATTGCAGGAGGTCAAGGACCACCTCCCAAGCACATCCGTGGAGTCCAGGTTAAAAATCCTTCTCACGAAACAATTATAGTCTTCTTAAGTTAGTACATGGCTTCTCCACTTACAAACTCGCAGGTCCTAACACACAGCTGGGTAAACAAGGGGTACTTGGTATGTGTGTGGTGAATGAATAAATATATGCACTCACTGAAAGTAGCTTGATATATCATGTTACCAAAATCAATTTTCCCTCTGTAGTGAGGGTGTTTCTGCAATATTAAAACTCTGTTTCTGCTCTTGGTGTATGCTGTTATTTTCTATAAGGTGTTTAAGAAAATGCACCACTAACATGAATAATACCCAGGAGGTGGCTCCACAGCTTCGTGTTTAATTAATATTCATTGACCGAATCAGCTCATTTGTGAACTCATTCATTCAGCAAACATTTATAGTTGCCTAATATACACCAGACATTATGCTGGGACATGAAAGATATAGAGACCTCGGTCTCCAGGTCCTCGCTATCTGGTAGAGTGCCAAGACGAGATAACAAATGACAAATATCTAGAGCATATGTCTCACCTCCTCCTCACACTCTCATGCCAGACAATATTAATAAGTCACAGTGTTATTTCCTACTGAGCTGTAAACAGCCTCAGAACCTTTCTTATCAAAGTATCCTTGGTGGAATAGAGTAGGTACAGAAGATGAGCTGTATATAATACAGGCGACTGAGTTATACATCACAATCAAAGAATAATGGATAAGACGTAAGAACGGTCACAAATACATTTACACACAGACTCACACATACGTACACATACACACACACTCACGGGCACCAGCAGCATTGCACTGTGTACCTGGACCCATTTCCTTCCATGGAGAAACAAGATTCACCCTGGGCTAGCATCAGATTCTCTGGCCATGATCAGTAGGGACAACAAAGCATATGGTCTATTGACACCTGACAGCATTCTCTCCTGACCGAGGCAAGGAAGCTGGAGAGGTGTTAACAATATACCTACATCCTCATTTCTCTCATCGTCAGGGGCCTTCAGGTAAGGGATGATGGCCACCCCACTCTCCATGATGGCTTTGTGGAATAAGCCATTGGCCAGGGGGGACAGAATCTGGAAAGAGAACACAGGAGACCCAGCGAAAGTTATCCAGGGGCTCCTCAGCATTCACACACACCACCCATCCCTTCTTTAAAGGAAGCTTCCCAGGAAGCCTCCTCAAAAGCGCTCGCCTTGGAGAAAAAAAGTCCTGGTTTGGGGGTTCGACAACCAGCTGTGAAGTTTTGGTCAAGTTATTTAACCTCTCTGAGCCCCGGGTTCTCAAGCACGCTGAAGTCAAACGTTCTGGCATGCGAGCACCAGCTCCTTCACCTCCTAGCTGGGTAACCCCGAGCAAGTGGCTTAATATTTCTAAGCATCAGTTTACTCTCCTATGAAACTAGTATAAAAGTTGAGCCCATATCACAGAACTGTTTTGAGGAGTAGGAGAAGTAATGAATATAGAAGGCTTCGCACAGTGCTTGGTTAAATAATATGCACTCATGAAATAGTGGCCGTTATAGTGTATGTAAAATTGAGTTGATATAATCCACCTTCTAGGGTTATTTTGAAGATAAAAATACCTTCTATATAGTCACGTGTTATACAGCAGAAGCTCTCCTAACCCACTTCTGTGTAACTGGTTTCTGTGATTAGCATGTTAACCGATGTCCACTCAGAGCCATTGGGCCATTTTCTAGCACCTCTGTGCATTTCTGTTCCCATCGATTTCTTGCCAAGTGTCAGCTGTTTGCTTTCAAATCGGTTTGGTCAGTTATATCTCCTATCGTCATTACATAATCAATGAATTATCATGGGAACCAATGAAGTATGTGTGTAAAAGAAAAACAAAACGAAGTTATGTTTTGGGGGAAAACAACCTTGATAAAAGCAGGTAGCTAAAGAATATTACTATCAAATTAAAGGGGCAAACAAAGTAAGAGTAAATTGTGTGGGGGAAACAGCAAACTCTAAGTGTGCCGCATTCACAGACTATTCTGCAGACGTCTTTAAGTGCGTGCTCACTGTAAAGAAAGTAAAACCACGATTTGAGGGCAGTGAATTCTGTGGGTGGTTGATGCAAGAGAGCCATGTGGGACCACCAGTCAGCAGAGCGACTCTGAAAAGATGAGACCCTCGTATCAAACTATTGCTGAAGGAATGTACCTTTTATGTTTTTCGTTAAAATAAAATGTTTACATGCATCCTTTGTTATTTTGGGCTTTAGTTGAGTTTTTCTATTAATAAGTAATTATCAGTCCTGATAACTGGATATCAGGGCTTTGACTCTACAAATATAAATGATCTTTCCTTAAATTACCACCCACTCCGTGATCTCGGGAGATTCGTTTAAACTCTCTGACGACAGCTCTCGTCCTTACAATGAGACTGAGCCCCTCACTCAGAGTGTGAGGCTGGAGGGAGAGGATGTGTATACAAGTGTTCGACATGAAGCCCCAATCAGGTGTGAGTGGTTCATCGTCCTCATTTCAGTAACTTCCCTCACTGAGTTATATTCAAGTTCCAAAGAGGAGAACTCACAAGGCCGGATACACTTATGGCTCCCGCTGACTCGCCAAAGATGGTCACAGAGCGTGGGTCCCCACCAAAGGATGCGATGTTCTCCTGGACCCAGGTCAGGGTGGCCAGCTGGTCCATGAAGGCCCAGTTCCCCAAAGCGTGCTCGTCCCCTGTGCTAGGGGCAAGAGGCGGGATGAGAATGCTCCGTGGGCCACTGTCCGCTTCCCGCAGCCCAGGGAGTTGGTGGCGGAGGCTGCATGTAAATGGATGTCAGGGCAACGCCACTCCTGCTGGGGAAAGGCTGAGAGTCGGAGGCCTGGGGCTTGGCTCTCTCCCTCTGCTGGGATTTGGGTTTGAGAATCTAAGGAAAGCTACACACCCCAGAAAAATGTACAGACAACCTTCCATATGCAGCTTCAGGGTAGTCCTAGGCTCCCCTGAATCCACAAACTCCAGAAGTGTCCAGCTCATGAGAATTGGTCTGCACCAGGGAGTGAGAACCGCCCTGGGCACAGGAGTGATTCAATGAATAATGATGATAATAATAGCAGTGGCAGCACCGTGAGAGACACTGTCCTGAGCTCTTCATAGCTGACACTCTCATAATCCTCCCAATCTATGAGGTAGGTGGTGCCGGTTTTTCTCCCTTTGCCCCTCTGGTTTTCATCTCCACCTTCTCTACCCTTCCTCCAAAAATCTGGCCCCTATGAACTGTAGCACCCAAGCTTCCTGCTACATGCAATCAGTGGGAGACACTGGCTGGGGGTTTGGGGGTGGGACATCGAGAGACCGGGATGTTTATCCCAGCACCCCCTACCCCTCTCTACTGGGAAGTGCTTTTGGGCGGTGGCTGCACTTCTCCGAGGCCACAGCTCACGCCACTTCCCTTCAATGAAATCTGCAAGCAAACTCTAAGGGTACTGCTGGATACATTGGCTCCTTCTCACAGACAGGAAAGCAGGACACGGAAAGGATAAATTCTTTGCCCAGGACCAAAAAAGATGCAGATTTGGGATTCAAACCCAGTGAGTCTGGCCCCAGAGTCCACACTCCTGGCCATGGCCCCAAGCTGCGGCCCATGCAGGGGGCATATTTCCCAGGATAGGTAGACAATTAATGGGGAGGGGAGCCAAGATCACGAAGCGATTATTCTCAGGAGCATTTGAGGAGCCTTGAGGTGGGGCCCTATGTCAGAGACTGTACTGCTCACACACCCAGAGTCCTCAGCTTCCAGGCACACAGCTGGGCCACACTTCCCACATCCCTGGGTTGGGTGTGGCCATGAGGTTGAGATCCACCAACGGTGTGTGAACAGAAGTGACGAGCACCACCTCCAGGCTGACACAGAAGTACCTTCCTGCCATGGTCTTCTAACCTCTACCTCCACCTGCTGGCCAAATGCAGAGGGTCCGGGGCAGAGCCACGAGGTGGAAGGAGCCTGGGTGCCTGACTGAGCTAAAGATCGTCTGTCGGTCAGGAACATACAATGGGCCTTTACTTGACCGGAAAAGAGATTTTTATTGTTCTAGGCCATGAAGACTTGGGAGGTTTATCTGTTATAGTTGCTAAAATTATCTAAAAAAAATTGGGGGCCAAATTTGTTCAATGTCACTGAAGGCTCATTCCTCTTTGGGATGCTGGGCACTGAATCCCCTGTGGGTGCTGCACGACTGCCCCCTGGGGACGAGGGGTGTCAATCACTTGGGGACACTCACTTGAAGAAGCCAAACATTCCTAGCCGATACTGGGTAGTCACAACCAGAACATCCTCGTAGGCGGCGAGGGCGGACCCGTCGAAGATGGAGGCTGAGCCAGTCTGGAAGGCGCCCCCGGGGAGCCACACCATGACCTAAGGAGGGAGAGGAACTTCCCGGTCAGTACCCACCAAGCACCCACATCCCGGCCCCATGTGTGTTGGGACCTTCTTTCTTTATGGAAATATAAAAGTCCCACTTTCCCTTCTAAATAGCATCAGGTGTTTTGTCCTTCAAAGAAGGCCCTGGGTTAAGCATCTGGGCTCTAGCAGCCGAGTGCCTGCCTGGGTTTGCTTCTGAGCTCTGCCACTGCCTCGCTGTGTGACCTTGGGCAAACTACTTAATCTCTCTGAGCCTCAGTTGTCTCGTCTGTAAGATGTGAAGAATGGACGTATTTCACTTACGAGGTTATCATGAGGTTTAAACTAGATTCTGCATCTAAGGTTCACAGAAAAATGGTGGTACATGTCAAGGGCTCAGTAAGTCTTAACTAAACATCATTGAACTTGTGACCTACAGCAAGATGGAAATCAGAAGCCATATATGAGAGCAAAAGCAGCTTAAGCTGGTTCGGTGAAAGGCTCTTTTTCCCACCTACAAAGAGAAGAGAGGAAAGAAAAAAGGAAAGAGAGGTGTGGAAACCTTATTAATTAGAAAAATTGGGACCAGGAAACAGAAAACGTTATTCAAATAGTATTATTACTATTTATGTACTTAATAATAAATCCCTTTCATTCTCTTTTTTAAGCTCATATTAGGGACTATAACACTTGGGGCAGGAAAAGACAAGAAAGCCACTGAAGAAAAAGGAAAACTGGACAAAGCTTTAACATCAGGATCTACCACTTACTGTGTGCAGAGCATGGAGCAAGTCGTTTAAGCCCTCCCCGTTTATGCCTCATCTTCCTCATCTGTAGAATGGGTCCAATAATCCTGACCCACTGGGTTGTCGTTGCGGTTAGATGAGATAATGTACTGTGCCTGGCACATAGTCAGCACTCTGTTAGGATGCAATAGAGCGTGTCTCTCATTGCAGGGGTGTTAGGGATAGAGGGTGATGAAGGGTGTGGTTAAAAATTGAATGGTACCTCCTTTTCCATTCCCTTATACAGGGATCTTTTATATTCTTAAATGAAAGACTTCAGATTATTACCTGTCTTCATTGCAAACAGAAAAATTGGAGAATACAATTATCCTCTTTAAGAAAGGATTTCCCAAACAGCAACAAAAAAGTCAGAGTCTTTTTAAGCAGTGCCTTTTCTAAATGTTTACAGACCATTAAATACTCCACAGAGGGGAAAAACAAAACAAAATAAAAATCAAAGGTCAAGTCACTGCCCATAAAGGAGCAATCAGAAAAGATAAAGCGAATTTATCATTAGAAAGAATTTTTAAGAAAGTTATTGCTGCGCCAAGTGATGACATTTCCCTTTGACCCAACAGGGAGCTGGGTCTGATTCCAGACACCCAGCCCCTCTGCCTGGGTCCTAGCCCAAGGACCTGCTAGTTGGAGCCCCAAGCATGGCAGGCAGCCTTACGGGGAGCTTGGAGCCGGTGTCTGCATGGGCTGGCGCATAGATGTTAAGATACAGGCAGTCTTCTGACACTCCGAATTTGGGGTAATGCACCTTGAGAATGCGTTGATCTGAGCGCAGCCACTCCGTGTTCTGGAGGCACCTTGTAAAAGGGGAGGAGAACCCCCCAGAGTTGCTGTCAGCAAACCTGCCTGGGAGGGGACAGTTCTCATGACCGCAGGGAGGCCTGGCAGTCTCCTCTGCGTGAGCAGAAGACGAGTACAGGAGCTCTTGGCACAAAGTTGATCATGCCTGCCCTTTACCCCCAACTCCTCCCCTGCCCGCCGCCCCACCTCCTGCCCCCAGCAGTTGCACAAAAAACTAACAAACAATGATTCTCTTTGATCTGGTTCCTGGGTAAGAAAGTACACTGTGCGCAATAGTGTACCATGAACCCCCAGGACCTACCCACACCTAGGCCCACCACCATAATCCAACACACATATAAAGACTCAAGCTGGCTCAACAATTTGCTTAACTGGAGGATGGGACACTGGGTGGCATATCAAGGGCTTTGCTCTGGCAGCTCTCTCTTCTGCCCCTGGGGGATCAAAAGGACATGCCAGGCCTCTCCACCAGGAACCAGCTGAGGTAGGTGTGCAGGGGGGACCCCCATATCCATGCCTTTGTTCAAGCTGGTCCCTTTGCCTAGACTGCTCTCTCCCTATGTATCTGCTTGCTCATGATTTTCCCTTTCTTTCAGATTTTGTTCAAATGCTAGCTCCTCCAGAAAGCCTTCTGAGGTTTCTCCAGCTAGACCACAGCCGTCTTTGGAAAACCCTGCACACCTTGTGTTCTGTCCTAGAACTTCTCCTGGACCTGTATGTGAGTACTTTCATAGTCTCCAAGTCAACTGTGAGCAGCTAGAAGCTTAGGACCCTGTATTAGTCACTTAAGTACCTCATAGCCTCTAGTACCAAGCCTGACACACAGTAAGACTAAGTGAGATTGTATTTAGGAATATTTCTACAAAGTGCTCAATTAATGTTATTTATTTTTTGATAGAATAGTGTATAGATTTGCTGCAAATCTCCCCCTTGACAAGTTTTTTTCGTGCCTTTTAGCCCCTTTGTAAACTGTTTATCAGAAATTGAGGCCTCATGCTTTCAATAAAGCCATTCCTCACCTCTCCTCAAAGCTAGGCTAGGTGGTTCTCTCTGCTTCCTCAGCATCCTTCTCCAGTCTCTTATGGTGGCCCTTGCCACTCTATATTTTAATTGTCATTATTGTTTATATCCTTGCCACCACTATCAGTCCACAGGTTCCTGAGGGCAGCTGTGTCTAAACCACTGTGGTGTCTTTCAGGGTCTAATGGAGAGCTAGTTATGAAGTTGGTTCTCAATGGATATGAGTTGAATGAATGAATGAATGAATGAATGAATGAATGAACAGATGAGTTCCAGCTTAGTGTCCTGAGCTTCTGAGCCTCATGGGATCTTCTTGCATGGCTTAGGGAGCTTCCTGGCACCAGGGTCCTCTTTCTGCTTGGGACCCCAATGCCAGGAATGTGACCAGCATGAGGGCTCGAGAGAATCTGAGATTCAGAAGACTCTTGAGGATTTCCAAGTCTCAGTTCCCACCTAGCCCACGAGGCCCCTCCACAATCTACCGGGGAACTGGTTGCCTATCTAAGCCCTAAAATGCGCACTGAGTGGGAGCCCCTTACCTCCCTGTCGCCCTGTGTGACAGAGACACACTCATGTCGTCATTCTACAGGGGTTTATGGACATCCCACCTCTGGGCGCAGTGTTGACTGCTAGAGCTCAAGTCCATCTAGTGTGATCCTTCCCTCTAGAGTACTAACGCAGTCTGACCTTGGAGACTAAGCCTGGGTGAGTCGTCACATGGAAACACTTGACAGTCCCTTCTAACCAAAGACTCAGTAAGCCCTTCACAGCGGTTCCCAAACCTGATTGGTCTCGGAGTCTCTACAGAGCTTTCAGGTGATCCAGTTTCCCTGGTCCAGCTCTGGAGATTCCAATGCAGGAGGTTCCTAAGGAAGTCCCGGGGGACCTGCGTGTTCTGAACACTGCCTCTGGTGACTCCACTGATCAGCCAGTCGGAGAGCCACACAGTCACTGAAATCACGGCAGCCCTGCCCCTCTCCTCCCCGACCACCTCCCCTTTCCCACTGGGCTGCATGACCTGTACTTCTCCCTCCATGCTCTGCCCCCACTCCCAGGTCGCAGGCCACCCATGGGACCGAGCTTCATCTTACAAGTTAGGGTAGGATGTGGCATCTCGGAAGTCATTCCAGGGCAACGCGGGCTTCGGGTTCGCAAATCGCAGGGGTCCTAGAGGGGGTGCAGCATAGGGGACCCCAAGGAACACATTCACAGGCACGGCGCTTCCCAGCACAGTGGCTTGCTTGCCCCGGACCCATCCCAGCCTGGTATTCCTCACGGGTGCATCAGCAGCTGGCCCTGAGGGAACACACGGGGAGGAATCAGGAGCTGGCTGGGAAGAGGCCAAACTCAGACCTCCTCCTGGGGGAGGGGAGGGGGGGGAGGCGCTCTTTCTCAGCCTAGAGTCTGTGCAACAGGAAGTATCTGTATTCCTTCTCAGGGGGTCTATGTCCACTGCTTCCTTTAATACCGCCTTAGAAGTCGCTGGCATCGGAGCACCAGCTTAGTTCCTCCTAGGGGCATAGCACCAAGCCATGAAATTTCTCCTGGTTACTCTGGGGCCCCATACCCTTTCTGGGCACAGCAGCTTTCCCTTCCTAGGGCACTGATGATATACACCAGGCTCTGTAGATCCTAGGACTGCACAAAATCCTCTGGCCCAGAGTTTCCTAGACTTCGGTCATTTTCATACCCTCCAGCATCGCCTCTGTGACCACTGATTTATTTTTCTTAAAATTATATATAAATAATCCTCAAATTTATCTAGAGGAATCTTAAGCAATAACATCTACGGAACTGTGGTTTTGATGAGTTAGGTGCTTTGATGCTTTTGAACACACACGAAAACAAATATATAGCAATGAAAATAAAAATTCCCACCTGAAATCTGCTCATCTACCTCCAGGGGTCTGAGACTGAGAATGCAGCCTTCTCCGTGTCCAAAGAATATGAAGCCTTGAAAAGTTAAACGCCCAGGTATTTACTCAGCAGGACCCAGGTGTCTCAGCACTACCTCTGCTAATGTCATTTAACAGGGAAGGTCCCGCCTGGGCAGCCAGCACTACAGAAGCCCAGGCTCTGTCTCGTGCCCCTCCTCAGAGCCCAGGACAGAGGGCTCCCCAAGCTCCCGCAGGCTATGAGCAACCTAAGGGCAAGACCAGGGTCTTCTGTGCTCTGCCCACATGCTTGAGGAGACTATGGAGCTTGGGCCTTCAGCAACAGCAGGACATTGATCAGGTGTCTCGAGGTTACCGCACAGCCCTCCGTGGGCCCCCAGAGACCTCTGAGCAGTAACTTCATTTTCATCAAAGTCAATTCTCCAAGGTAAGGAAATCCCCTTACCCTACCTTCTAAGAGCCCTCCTCTCCCACTGGGTGTCTCACCCTCGGTGGCAGCTGCAAGGACCCAAAGAGCCCAGATCAGGGCCTGGTTTGGGTACACCCACTCCCCACTCATCTGGCTGGCCCGCCTGAACTCCCTGGACATCCACGCCGCTTCGGTCAGGGATGAGAAAGGGCTTCCTGCTAGCAGACAAATGTTGAGTAGGCAGACACAGGACACAGGGTTGGTGGAGAATAGTATCAGACCAAGACTGGGGAGAGAGAGAACTTTGCCCAGCAAGACTTTCCTGTTCTGATTTACATAAGAAGAAGCTGAAGATTAACTCTTGAGCTGAGGAAAGATAATTCGTTAGTCTTTGAGTTCATAGGATAGTAGAAGTACAAAGGCCATTTGAGATTAGGTAAGCCAGAGACATCACTCAGATGCCTGCAGGGGCTGGGAAGGCAGCAAACAAGCAGTGAATGACAGCTAGAGGAGAGACCATAGGGAGTGGTGGGGACTCTGAAAAACTGGACAGCACAAGTTCTGTCTAAAAGCACAACAACTTCTCAACCCCGGTAAATATTTGGTTTGGATAAGATAGGTAGTCCAAACCAAAAATATCTCTTGATTTTTAAATGTAGCCTCAATTTTAAAAATCATGAGGTGAGCCCAGTGGAGCATTTCTACTGGCTTGAGTTGTGTCAATGGGTAAGGCCTGCAATTCTAACCTAGACCCAGGCCCTCCAGTGTAAATACAAGGAGACAAGCCCAGGGAGGCTCTGCTGGGGCTTCTCCTCAGCATTCTCGGTTAAATGATTTGCAGCTGTTACCAGATTTAATGCAATGATTCCCATTGTATAGATGAGGAAACTGAGGCTCTGCAAGGTAGGATGACTTGTCTGATATCACAAGGCTGAGAAGCAGCACAGCTGAGACTTGAGCCCAGATTTCCTGCCTCCGAGCTGCAGGCTTTGCCATGTAGGGAGGAGGGAGCAGGAAACGAGGGGCAACAGGAAGATAGGGAGGATGGGCTGAGTTACTCAACTCTTGGGTCATGAAAATCACTTAATTTTCTAGGAAGCTGAGTAACCACTTGCCATCACCTCCTAGGACCTTGATGTCCCCATCAGTAGCACAGACCAGTGGCCTAGATGGCCTCCGAGAGACATAGACCTTTGATGGGCTCTCTCTGTTCTCCCAGATCGCTCTGCCGAAACCCTGAGGGAGAAACCAGAACGAGAGTCCAAGGCTTGTCTTAACTCAGACGCTCATCTACTGCTGCTGGCAGGTAGTGGAGAGCAAAGCCCACTTTCCAGTTCTCAGAAGGGGAGGCTGAAGGAACCCTAACGGCATCAGAGCAACGACAATGACCTCAGAGTGGAGACCAGTCTGCAGGTGGACAAAGCAAAGGGAGGATGCCCTGGAGATAGAATCAAGTCACTGGGCAGTGCCCCTCACACCACACACAGGCGTAGAGCTGGACCCTTCGAGTGTCCTTCTCATAACCTTTCTTCAAACTCAACTCACATTCATGTTAAACCAAACATGTTAACAGGCTGTTCAAATCTCTTCCCATCTGGCTCCATCCTGCCATTCCAGATGGCTGCGTCACTACAAGCCATCACTACACCTATCACTGCAACCCAGCACCGCATCAAATCTCTGTTAGCTACATTTTCCTCTCCTGAAACATTATGCCTTGACTTCTTCACCTGGTGAAATCCTATTTGTCTTTCAAGCTCCCATGGAAATACTATCTCCTCCATGCATACTTCCTTATTCTCAAATGCTAGAATTATTTTCTCCTTTCCTCCTATATACTTTGTTAATGTCTCTACTATACTATTTACAATACTCTGTCCTAATTCTATAGCTCGTAGAGCCACAAATGATGACGGTGACGACAATGATGACAGCGTTCATCCTCTGGTCACATAACCTCAGCCCACTTCTGATTTAAGTCACAACTACAGTGGACAGTTCTGTGCAGGCTCAGCCTCACCTTGCACTGACAGCATACCACTTGAAGCATGGGCGGACCATATGACTTTCTATTTTCTGCCCCAGCTCCTTCACCCCCATCACAAAAGTCCCTTCTTTTTTTTTTTTCTCAAGTGAGACTGGAATTACAGTTAAATCCCCTGGGGAGTAACTCTCAACAAAAGGAGCATGAAATCCAGGAGATACCTCTGGAGGCAGTCTGTTTGCCACTGAGAGGCAAGAAGTCCTAGAGAAATTGGGCTCTCATGGCTCACAGCAGCAGCCTCAATAATACATGCCTACCTTGTTCTTTTCTCCTCCCCACCCTGCCTCAGGCTCTGCTCTCAGGGAACCAAACGAAGTCCACTGGTACTAGGAGACCTAGAAAGCAGACCCTCGGTGGAACTCTGTGACTGCATCCCTTACCAGTCAGACAGCATCATGTCGGGAAGGCTCTCAGTGGGGGGCTGGGATGCGCAGGCTGGAGGGGCAGGGCTGAGGTGTGCAGTAACCCCAGCACCTCTACAGTACAGAGGCAAGGGTAATGATAAGGGTTGTGGGTTGGCTGATTTTTTTTTTTTTTTTAAGCTGCACTGGAAACCTTAATGAAAATAACAGGCTCAGGTCGATTAGCTATCAACACAGAGTATGCCATGAAAATTAGAAGGCCTTCTGGAAGCTTTTAAAGATAATTTTATCTCCTGGAACCAAAGTTAGACCACGCTGAAAATCAGACCCAGGATTTAACCATAAGAGTGAGAGAGCTACAGAGAAGGTCAAAGGCAAAGCCGTGGAAGCTCTCCTATGCTAAAGTTAGAGCCCAGATAAGGAATGGCTAGGACCTGAGACATGGGATGGAGACATTTGGATGGGTGCATTTGAAAACCATGAACACCCAGAGTCTCCTAAACTCTCCACACAAACAGTCCTCTCCTTCTTCTTAGAAGAGATCAGACCTCACTGTCTCACGTGAAAATGCCTTTCCTCATCAAGATTACCCTAACTCCACGTGTCACCGCAGGCAAGAACTAGGGCCAGGCTCAGTCCCAACAAGGAGGAGGAAATGGCTTTATCACTGAATTGTTTGAGGTGACTAACATGTCCCGAAAGAAAAATGTATGGGAGTAGATCTTGAGGATGGTGAACCGGAGGCATAGCAGAAGATAAGACTGCAGAAGAGAGAATTGGTTAATACAAGAGCACATTCTCCTGACTCAGGATTTATTGTTCTAGAAGAATGCCTCGGGCTGGTCTAATGTGCTGCGGGAGTGGCTCCTGGAAGCTTGGACATGCTGACAGCCTATAGCAAATAAGACAGAAATGCTAGAATTACCACGGAATATTACTGATGAGCAGATCAGAAGGTTCAGGGATGTGAGTCTGTTAGAATAAACCTCTCTCCTCGAATGAGGGGACCCACCATCTGATGATGTTTACCAACAGCACCCAGGAGTCTAGATGTGTTTGGACTATATCATGATGGAGAGTGGGAGACTTAGCCCCGTAAATGGATACTATTCATCCCATGTGAATGTGAATTGTTTCTGGTCTTCTTTCCTAATTGGAATAACAAGGACCGCATTTGCCAAATCAATGGCTGCATACCATGTCGCTGAGGCCTTATTAACCTGCTCAGGCAACGTTACCACACTTATCATAGCCACTGCAATTAGGGTGACTACTTTATTAAGCCTGTGGTAGTTGCCAGTCATTCTCTAGGATCCAGTCAGATTCTTCCAGTGGCAATATGAGAGGTACCACCATCCCTGTATCTTCCAGGCATTGAATAGTGTACTGATATCTGCCGTACTGCACCTTCAGAATACAATCTAACCTTTTCATTTATTATTTTGGCCATGGGGTGCGGGCCTCCTGGATCTTGGCAGGTTCAGAAGTTTCCTGTCGTGATAGCTCTTACTCCATAGAGCAGGAACCCAATATGGAAAATTTCTAGAGTTGCCAAGAATATCAAAACAATTTATACACTCGGGCCCTGGGGAAATGACCACTCGTTGGGGTCCATGGACCCAGTGGGCAAGACTTTAACAAATGTTACACCTAAAATTATGAATGTTCTCTCTCTAATTTGATAGGTAAGTGGGAGCTTTGCTCAAACATGGCCTGAGAGCTATGAGGCATTATTGAAAGAAATTGAAGAAGACCCAAAGAATGGAAAGGTATTCAATATTCAGGGATTGGAAGAATTAACGTTGTTAAAATGTTCATATTACTGAAAGCAGTCTATAGATTCAATGCAATCCCTATCAAAATTCCAATGGCATTTTTCACAGAAATTGAACAAAAAATGCTAATATTTGTACCGTACCACAAAAGACCTTGAATAGCCAAAGCAATCCTGAGAATGCTAATATTTGTATCGTACCACCAAAGACCTTGAATAGCCAAAGCAATCCTGAGAAAAGAAACAAAGCTTGAAGTATTACAAGCCCCAATTTAAAACTATATTACAAAGCTATAGTAATCAAAACAGCATGATATTGACAGAAAAAGACACACAGACCAACGGAACAGAATTGAGAGCCCAGAAATAAACCCACACATATATGGACAACGCATTTACTATAGAGCCAAGAATACACTTTGGGGAGCGCTAGGACCTCCAAAGAACTTTGCTAGGTAACTAATATGTTTAAGACTCCGTGGGCAGGAAAGTAGGAGAAAAATGAGGCATAAACTTCACCTTAGAGAGCTTAGATTCAGGTGAGACAGTTGCCATGTAAATGCAGGTAACTAATGGAAGACAGAACATGGTAAGTGCTCCCACTGAGATTTGGGCAGGTATGAGATGCAGAGAAAGAAGACAATTAAGCTAACCCAGAAGATATCCACTTACTTTCCAAGCTTGGACTCTTGGCTTTTGGATCAATGGCTTCAGGCCTCCTCAGCAGGGAGCTCCCAGTCCCTAGCCGGGCCCTCACCACAGCCTTCAGCACTAAACACTTTGAGCTTCAAACCGTGACATGTAACCGTGGTAAGCTGCAGGGCTGTGTCAAGGGAGAAAGGGTGAGGAGTAGGAAAGGGCTCTGCCAGATTATTGCAGTAAAGGCGCAAACCTGTCCACACCTACCTATAACCACATCCTTGGCCTTGACCCTGAGCATGACTCTGAGCTTGGCCGTGTGACTTGCTCT